AAATTTTTTGTCCAAAATTTATGACATGCAAAAGAACACCAAACATATTTGTCCAGGGCTTAAGCCTGGAGCTTTGCGCAAAGGATCGTGTGGGCCTCCTATCAGAAGTCACGCGAATTTTACGAGAAAACGGGCTTTCGGTTACGAGGGCAGATGTCTCGACCGTTGGAGAACAAGCCATGAATGTTTTTTACGTGAGTGATGCTTCTGGAAAGCCTGTGGATTCAAAAACCATTGAGAGTCTACGTAAGGAGATAGGGCAGAGTATGAGGCTCAACGTGAAAAAAGCCCCGACTGATGCGAAAACGCTCGAGACGAGTGGATGGGCGAAAACGAGCTTTTTCTTCGGAAGCCTACTGGAGAAGTTTAGGGCTTGAGCTTCAATGGAGTTTATGTGTTTTGTTTCCTGATGTTTGTGCTCTGTGTAAAGGTTCAGTTTGTGTATGTAGGTGAATGTGTCAACTGGAAGTTGAACTGTACAAATCAAGAAAGTGTGTTTAATAAGTTGTAATAACAATGTTGAGCAATTTTATAGTTATTTTTTTGATCTTTTACATGATAACATTATTAGAATAAGGAATAATAAGCTCACATTTCAACCTTTTGTGATCTGATCTAATTTATGGAGATGTTAATTACACCCACGGTCTAAATTATTTGTGTTTCATATCTTACTTAAAAATGAAAATGAAAAATATATAAAAAAATCCCAACGTTAATATATATAAGCATAAAAAAAAAATTGACATCCGTAGGATACCAATTTTTCGTTTTCAGAACCTGAAAATTCAATTTAATCAAATTGGATCTTAACGTTTATAAATTGATTTATTTTGTTCCGAAACTGTAACGTCTGCCGTCTTTCACTGCTCCCAACCACTGTCATTTTAAAGTTTTTAACTTGACTTCTGTAACGGTACCATTAATTTCATCATACTAAATCTCGAAACTTGTTAAAATCGTTGTTGGCATATTAGGTTTTTCAATAAAAATGTTTTCTACATATATAGCTTTCATAAAAATCCAACAATGGGAGCTCCGGTAAAAATTGATCAAACATTAAGACATGTTTTGGCAGGAAAATTTTAACAATGAATTGATAGAAGTTCGAGATATTGTATGATGCAATTAATTATGTGTCGTAATAGTTAGTTATAATTAGGCAAAAGTTGATTAATTTTTGAAATGTTGAAATAAAAATAAGTTACAATTTGAGGTAATAAAAGCGATAAGCAAGTATATTTGAGGTAGAAGTAATTCATTTTTCCTATAAGCATTAGGAACATTTTAATCAAGGAATTAAGCATACGTGCATATGGGATAAACACTTCCTGAAGTAACTTAAAATCCTAAAAGTGGACCTTTTCATATTAGAACAATTTTATATTAGAACAATATTGTAAGCAAAGTCTGGAATTGTTTTATAGGCATCTTAATTTGTGCCTTCATCTTAAGTTATCTTTTATACAACATAATTATCTCCACAGATTATTTAACATAATTACTTTTTACTATAATTAGAAGCTGTTAAAATAAAAATGGACAAAAAGAACAAAAAGAAAATACAAAAGATAGCATAATTTTAACTATTTACCGTTCTACTATTAAACATATCATCTGGGCTGAATATTCCTGAATTTATTCATATTTTTTTTGTTAAGCTGATCAGATCCTTCTTTCGCTAACCAAACTTAAGACATTTGAAAAAAAAAAAATAATAATAACTACAATTTTGATGACTTCAACTGAAGAAGTTCTACCAATATTTTAATTTAAGTGTGACGACAATGATTGAAAGATATGTGGAAATTTAATAACTATTTTTTGAGTTTGCCTATTTTTCATTATCACAATCATATAATGTATTTGTATAAAAAAATAATTATTGTGTGAGACGGCTTATGTGTTAGACGGATATGTTTCTATAAATGTCATACTTTTATTTATGATATTTTTCACAGTATATATAACATTTTAATTTCAAAATATGTACATATATATGTTAAAAAAATATAATGGGCAGAAATTAAAATACCCCATATACATCCCTATTCAGGTAAGAAGGGATGGATACATAAATTATTGTACACAAATATTATGATAAATTGTCGTATTCAAGCTTAATTATGCCTTGTTCTAAGTGATTAATTAAAAGCTTGTCTTGTTCATTTTAATATGATGTTTGATTTACAATAATGCAATATGTTCACTAATTATGATACACCAAATATTTTGTAGAACGCATCTGGACTAAAACTGCACAAAGATTCAAAAGCATGTTGAATGAGTGTAGGAATAATGAGTTGGTTCAGAAAAGTACATTCTCTTAGTGGCATTAGATAATAGGACGCAATTTTTCCATATAAAAGTGCCATTAATCAAAATTGAAGGATATTGGAAATATATA